GGTATAGGGAGAAGTCCATTTGCGACAGATCTCGTAGTGCGTACGAGCCTTGAACTGAGTTTAGGAGCCAGCGCAGTCAATCCCGCAGTAGTATGACCATTTAAGATCTGATAAAAAAGGTTCAAACCATGGCTTATTCTATAGTTCTGAAATGTCAAGGCATTACTCAAAGATAGTGCAACACAGTGGTGAGTCCAGCCTGGAAGCCTGCGGATCTTATAGGCTCTATTATAGAGTCTCGCTACAGGTTCAAGGATTTCATTTGTTGTGAGTGACCAAACAGGTAAACAATACGACAGAGTGGACAATATAATGGCATGAAGATATGTTTTAGAAACAGAATGCAGTAGATATGGTCTAATTTTACTATAAACAAATAACTTTTGGTTTAACTTTCTAATTAAAATTTGGACATGGTCACGATAAGTAAGATGTGAGTCAAGAGAGACTCCCAAATACTTATACGTGGATACAATTGAAAGTTTCTGATTAGAAAAGGTGATGAAATTTGATATAGACAGTTGTTTCCTAGATGAATAGAAATACATACATTCTGTTTTCTTAGTATTCAGTGTTAAATGGTTATCCTGGAGCCAATCATGTAGATGCTGTAGGTCTAAGTTAAGTTTGTAATTAATTGTATCAATATCTGAGCCAGACAAAAAAATGACAGTGTCATCAGCATATAATAAAGTATTAGAAACATCAAACACATTAGGAAGATCATTGATGTACATAAGGAAAAGTAAAGGACCTAAGATGCTGCCCTGTGGAACTCCCATAGAACACACTCGTGACTGTGATGTTACTGAGCCGATTCTTACAGTCTGAGATCTGTCACTTAAATATGATTTAAACATATCTATTGCAGAGGAGGACAAATGAAAAGAAAAAAGTTTATTTAACAAAATTTGATGATTGACTGTATCGAAGGCTTTTCGAAAGTCTATGTATATGACTCCAGTAACCTGACCTTTATTTAAAGACGCCCGTATCTGCTCAGTAAAAAGTAGCAAAGCCGACATAGTCGACCGCAGTGGTCGAAAACCATGCTGACAATCACTGAGCATGTTATTGTATTCAAGGTGATTAATTAATTGATTATATAATGTTTTTTCAAGTAACTTAGAAACAGTTGGAAGAATTGCAATTGGGCGGTAATTCGAGATATTAGTTGTAGTTTATGATTTCATAGTTTTATGATGGATAGATGCACTTTTATGATGGATAGATGCACTTTTATCATGGATAGATGCACTTTTATAATGAATAGATGCACTTTTATGATGGACAGATGCACTTTTATGATGGATAGATGCACTTTTATGATTGATAGATGCACTTTTATGATGGATAGATGCACTTTTATGATGGATAGATGCACTTTTATGATGGATAGATGCACTTTTATCATGGATAGATGCACTTTTATGAATGATAGATGCACTTTTATCATGGATAGATGCACTTTTATCATGGATAGATGCACTTTTATGAATGATAGATGCACTTTTATGATGGATAGATGCACTTTTATGATTGATAGATGCACTTTTATGATGTACAGATGCACTTTTATGATGGATAGATGCACTTTTATAATGGATAGATGCACTTTTATGATTGATAGATGCACTTTTATGATGATAGATGCACTTTTATGATTGATAGATGCACTTTTATAATGGATAGATGGACTTTTATAATGGATAGATGCACTTTTATGATTGATAGATGCACTTTTATGATTGATAGATGCACTTTTATGATGGATAGATGCACTTTTATGATTGATAGATGCACTTTTATGATGGATAGACAAACTTTTATGATGGATAGATGCACTTTTATGATGGATAGATGCACTTTTATGATGGATAGATGCACTTTTATAATGGATAGATGCACTTTTATGATGGATAGATGCACTTTTATAATGGATAGATGAACTTTTATAATGGATAGATTAACTTTTATGATTGATAGATGCACTTTTATAATGGATAGATGAACTTTTATAATGGATAGATGCACTTTTATGATGGATAGATGCACTTTTATAATGGATAGATGAACTTTTATGATGGATAGATGCACTTTTATGATGGATAGATGCACTTTTATCATGGATAGATGCACTTTTATAATGAATAGATGCACTTTTATGATGGATAGATGCACTTTTATGATTGATAGATGCACTTTTATGATGGATAGATGCACTTTTATGATTGATAGATGCACTTTTATGATGGATAGATGCACTTTTATGATGGATTGTTGCACTTTTATCATGGATAGATGCACTTTTATGATGGATAGATGCACTTTTATGATGGACAGATGCACTTTTATGATGGACAGATGCACTTTTATGATGGATAGATGCACTTTTATGATGGATAGATGCACTTTTATGATGGATAGATGCACTTTTATGATGGATAGAGAGATGCACTTTTATGATGGATAGATGCACTTTTATCATGGATAGATGCACTTTTATGATGGATAGATGCACTTTTATGATTGATAGATGCACTTTTATGATGGATTGATGCACTTTTATGATGGATAGATGCACTTTTATGATGGATAGATGCACTTTTATCATGGATAGATGCACTTTTATGATGGATAGATGCACTTTTATCATGGATAGATGCACTTTTATGAATGATAGATGCACTTTTATGATGGATAGATGCACTTTTATGATTGATAGATGCACTTTTATGATGTACAGATGCACTTTTATGATGGATAGATGCACTTTTATAATGGATAGATGCACTTTTATGATTGATAGATGCACTTTTATGATGATAGATGCACTTTTATGATTGATAGATGCACTTTTATAATGGATAGATGCACTTTTATAATGGATAGATGCACTTTTATGATTGATAGATGCACTTTTATGATTGATAGATGCACTTTTATGATTGATAGATGCACTTTTATGATGGATAGATGCACTTTTATGATTGATAGATGCACTTTTATGATGGATAGACACACTTTTATGATGGATAGATGCACTTTTATGATGGATAGATGCACTTTTATAATGGATAGATGCACTTTTATGATGGATAGATGCACTTTTATGATGGATAGATGCACTTTTATGATGGATAGATGCACTTTTATGATTGATAGATGCACTTTTATGACGAATAGATGCACTTTTATGATGGATAGATGCACTTTTATGATGGATAGATGCACTTTTATGATGGATAGATGCACTTTTATAATGGATAGATGCACTTTTATGATGGATAGATGCACTTTTATGATTGATAGATGCACTTTTATGATGGATAGATGCACTTTTATCATGGATAGATGCACTTTTATAATGAATAGATGCACTTTTATGATGCACAGATGCACTTTTATGATGGATAGATGCACTTTTATAATGGATAGATGCACTTTTATGATGGATAGATGCACTTTTATAATGGATAGATGCACTTTTATGATGGATAGATGCACTTTTATAATGTACAGAGGCACTTTTATGATGCACAGATGCACTTTTATGATGGATAGATGCACTTTTATAATGGATAGATGCACTTTTATGATGGATAGATGCACTTTTATGATGGATAGATGCACTTTTATGATGGACAGATGCACTTTTATGATGGATAGATGCACTTTTATAATGGATAGATGCACTTTTATGATGGATAGATGCACTTTTATGATGGATAGATGCATTTTTATGATGGATAGATGCACTTTTATGATGTATAGATGCACTTTTATGATGGATAGATGCACTTTTGTGATGGATAGATGCACTTTTATGATGGATAGATGCACTTTTATGATGGATAGATGCACTTTTATGATGGATAGATGCACTATTATAATGGATAGATGCACTTTTATGATGGATAGATGCACTTTCATGGACTTCAAAACAGAAACAGCCATTCACTGCCATTTTAAAGCTTGGAAGAGCCAGGACATTTTTTTAATATAAGTCCAATTGTATTTGTCTGAAAGAAGAATGTCATATACACCTAGGATGGCTTGAGAGTGAGTAAATCATGGGCTAATTTCTAATTTTGGGTGAACTATCCCTTGAAATAAAAGAGGTATGGACTGACCCTAATGTCGTCTAACCCTGCGTCCCGTGACACGGCGCTGCCCATGTGTCTCGGTAGGGTCCGGTGCTGTAGCTGAGGGGTCAGTAGCTGTAAACTACTGGCCCTGTTGGGCATCCCCTGTCCCACCACCAATCCGCCCGCCTCACCCCCATGGGGACGCCCTCGTTCCCTCCTCACGTACATCGAGTGCCTGTGCGGGCGCTGCTGCGAGGAGAACGGGCTGGTGTAGCCCACGCCGTAGGGGAACTCCTGTGGAGCCGATAGAGACAGTCCCGCTCCGGGGTCGAGCGGATCCACAGGGTTCCCGTCGCTCTTTTGCCGTGACGAGGAGCGCCGGCTGGACGGCTCAACCGTGCTTCCGTCCCGGTCCAGTTTGCTTCGACGTCCCACAGCGGGACTGTGTCCCCCGTGTTGCATTGACGGGCTTCCCGGAGCCGCCAAGTTCAGGTTCATGTTAAGATCCAAGCAGCTGCTGGGGAAGTAGCGGGGCGATCCGGATGGGTCGTCCGGGTGTAGTCGCATATCGCTGAGGTTACTCACGGATTTGGCGTCACTAAGCACTCCGTGACTCTTAGACAAACTCAAGTATGAGGACGACCCCTTTCCGGCGGAGGATGACGACGCGTTCGATTCACCGTATCCGTGACGGCTCTGTTTCTCCCGGTCGCCCGTGAGCGTGCCGGTCTTGCCCTCCACAAAGGAATGGCGGTTCTGGGAACGGGGCGTGTTCGATTTCAGGTATTTGGCGCCGGGACCGTCTGCTGGTTTGCCAAAGTCAAAATCGCCCGATTTTGATTTGGCCTCTTTAGCATGCTGGAGGTCTTTCCCACACGACGCCGAGCGGTTGAGCGGCTGGAAGGATTTAGGGTGCATGACTGGGCTCAGGCTGTTGGCGGACTGGACCGACCCGTTCAGGAACGTCTCGGAGCTGGGAGGGTGGAGGTCTTCGTGCCCATGACGGGGCAGACTGGAGCAGTCACGACTGTTTGAGCGATGGTGACTTGAACTCTTGATAATGTGACCCCTAAAAACCCATTAAAAAAATTAAACAATGCAAACACGAGTGATTGTAAGCAACACTAGCTAAGCTTACATGCATCAATTTATAATCAGATTGATGGCTCAAGTGGATTGAACACCTAATGTTTGAGGAAAAGTGCTTTTTTCCTGCTTAGCCTATTAAAATAGATTCCCAAATCCATTTTTGCCCCTAGTTTTATTTACTCCCAATCAGGGCTTGACATTAACTTTTTTGCTCACCAGCAACTGTGGCAAGTGGTTTTCCAAAGTTTTAATTTTCACTGGCCACAATTATGACATTGATACCATGGGGAAAATTGCCATATAGATATTTTTAATATTATCTCATAATTTGGTAGCAGGTATATTAGGCTGCTGTCACTTTAAGACCGAATGCACGGATCCAATATACTGTTACACATGCGTTTTCTCTCTCAGCTGTTTACCTAAAACATAACTGAACATAACTGTGTTAATGTGGAATACCGGATGACCTACTAAACGTAGCAGAAATGTGCAGATTACAACCAGAGCACACTGTGTAATGTTCTGTATTCCATAATGCAATGCGTTCAAATTGGCTTTCCATTTAATTTGATGTGGCCTTGATTTGCAGTAGGACGAATCTAAATGAAATAAGACTTGTTATTTGATCTTGCAGCCAAAAGCTACACAAAAAATGGTTTAAAAATGCAAAATAACTATTTTCAAGATGAAAAGTGAAGTAGGATAGGAAATAGGATTACACATCTAGCATACTACTCTTTGAAATATTGCATGCTAAACCACATAATTAGCTTGTATACACAGTCAGGAAGTATGTAGTGCTCCACTCTTGCTCCTCCTGACCTGCTGGGGGCGCTGTTGTCCAGAAGGGGCTTCCTCTTGGAGGAGCGGATGGGTGTGGGTGTGAGCGGGCTGGGACGCTCCGTCAGGCGCTGAGTCTGGAAGGCGTGATGGTTCAGACTCTGTTCTGTCAGATAGCGCTCGTTCGGGTACAAAAACAACAGGTTCTGAAAGTATCAAGCCACAATGGTAGATCTCTCAAACAAAACACTTCACAGGGATTGTCTAAATTTCAGTTTTTTTTTTTGTTTTTTTGTTTTTACATTTTCATAAGCACATTCTAGTTATTCTCATTAATAAAATGCATTGGAACATTTTTACTTGCAATATTTTACTATACTTTTTTGTATTATATTGTAGAATGTAATCAAACATTTATATATTACAATTATTATGAATTATTATGAAAATGTAATATAAATACACTTACATTGTAATATAAATTAAATTAAATTGTAATGTGGGCTCATGCATTTACTTAAAGCTGCTTTGAACCGATGTGAAAAGCGCCACACAAATAAATGTGAATTGAAATTGAAATTAACAAATTTAACTAAAGGCAGAACAACCACTGCTACATGAGATAAAAATACTCAAAATATTAATAATTACAAAAATATATATATTGTTACATTATTAATGAGAAAGATTTGTTTGCTTTTCGGTAATAAAATGTAGGGTCACAAAGATAAAAAAATATATATATTTAAGATAAAGATATTTATGCATTTGGGTATTTTTCTTAGTAAATATTATTTTGAGTTGTTTTCTTTGAGGTCATTATTCTCAAGTGTTTTTCTCACTATTCTAATACAGTACATTATACACTCACCTAAAGGATTATTAGGAACACCTGTTCAATTTCTCATTAATGCAATTATCTAATCAGCCAATCACATGGCAGTTGCTTCAATGCATTTAGGGGTGTGGTCCTGGTCAAGACAATCTCCTGAACTCCAAACTGAAGGTCAGAATGGGAAAGAAAGGTGATTTGAACAATTTTGAGCGTGGCATGGTTGTTGGTGCCAGACGGGCCGGTCTGAGTATTTCACAATCTGCTCAGTTACTGGGATTTACACGCACAACCATTTCTAGGGTTTACAAAGAATGGTGTGAAAAGGGAAAAACATCCAGTATGTGGCAGTCCTGTGGGCGAAAATGCCTTGTTGATGCTAGAGGTCAGAGGAGAATGGGCCGACTGATTCAAGCTGATAGAAGAGCAACTTTGACTGAAATAACCACTCGTTACAACTGAGGTATGCAGCAAAGCATTTGTGAAGCCACAACACGCACAACCTTGAGGCGGATGGGCTACAACAGCAGAAGACCCCACCGGGTACCACTCATCTCCACTACAAATAGGAAAAAGAGGCTACAATTTGCAAGAGCTCACCAAAATTGGACAGTTGAAGACTGGAAAAATGTTGCCTGGTCTGATGAGTCTCGATTTCTGTTGAGACATTCAGATGGTAGAGTCAGAATTTGGCGTAAACAGAATGAGAACATGGATCCATCATGCCTTGTTACCACTGTGCAGGCTGGTGGTGGTGGTGTAATGGTGTGGGGGATGTTTTCTTGGCACACTTTAGGCCCCTTAGTGCCAATTGGGCATCGTTTAAATGCCACGGCCTACCTGAGCATTGTTTCTGACCATGTCCATCCCTTTATGGCCACCATGTACCCATCCTCTGATGGCTACTTCCAGCAGGATAATGCACCATGTCACAAAGCTCGAATCATTTCAAATTGGTTTCTTGAACATGACAATGAGTTCACTGTACTAAAATGGCCCCCACAGTCACCACATCTCAACCCAATAGAGCATCTTTGGGATGTGGTGGAACGGGAGCTTCGTGCCCTGGATGTGCATCCCACAAATCTCCATCAACTGCAAGATGCTATCCTATCAATATGGGCCAACATTTCTAAAGAATGCTTTCAGCACCTTGTTGAATCAATGCCACGTAGAATTAAGGCAGTTCTGAAGGCGAAAGGGGGTCAAACACAGTATTAGTATAGTGTTCCTAATAATCCTTTAGGTGAGTGTATATAAAAATATTGCAAAAGAATAATTTTAATTAAATCAACATACAATTAAATGTATCACATCATAGTAATCAGAAAAACATTTGTTTCAATTCCATGTCAAGATGCAAAAACATAATGGTTCTAAAAACAAGTTTAAAGATGTGTATTTGTACATATATCACCCAACAAACATCTATTAATATCCTCCAGAGGAAACAAGCTTCAACAAGCCCATCACACAAGAACACCGCTAGCGTTATTACCACCATGTCCTAAACCTCATTTGTTGAAGATATTTGTTGTACGCATGACTCATCGTTTAATAAACCGACATGACAGAACAAGCGCCGTGTTGAGGGTTTCAGGAGGATAGTTTAATGACAACAATATCAGGGTTATCAGCACAGGATTCATCAGCAGAAACAAGCAAATCACTGTGATGAAAATATAATTAGCGCACAATTATCGCAGTGATGAAATGTCACTTTCACCTAATGAAGCGACGGAGCTACGCGAGTCACACTCATTCGCTAACACACACGCAACAACATGTTGAGTATCTGTGTCTCTTGATGCCCTAACAGGCACTAAACACACCAGTGAAGAGGTGTGTAAGCTTTATCAACGATCCAATCGTCAGGTAAACACAAATGAAGTGCGAGCGAATGGAAACCCCAGTAAACGAGTGTGTGAGATGAATGAAGCGCCATTAGTCAAACACACACACACACGATAATGACAAACCTGCATCACAGGTGAACAGAAGACACGGGATGTGTGTGAGGGGGACAGATGACAAACACAAAAACATTAGTCATTAGTCTGATGATTTAATGTTTCACACAGGGTTAGAACGTGAAGGTTAGAAGCAGAACAACTGTGACTAATTTCTCTCTCTCTGTTTATTCACATGTGATGAACACTCACACACTCACTTATACACACTCACTCTCACTCACTCACTCACTCACTCGCTCACTAGCTCACTTACACACACACACACAAATATAGACACAAAAACACAAACACACATACAGACACCGACACATACACTCTCTCACACACACACACACACAGACAGACAGTGTGTGTGTGTGTGTGTGTGTGACTGAACACACTCCTCTTACCTTCATGAGGTCGAGCAGGACTGTGTGTGTGTGTGTGTGTGGGACTGAACACACTCCTCTTACCTTCATGAGGTCGAGCAGGACTGTGTGTGTGTGTGTGTGTGTGACTGAACACACTCCTCTTACCTTCATGAGGTCGAGCAGGACTGGACTGATGATCCCGAGGTATCGTCTCTCCAGTGTCTGTGGATGGCTCACTGAGGGAAACTACACACACGAGAGTCTTATAAAATAACGTGCACTGCTGAACACTCACAGTGAGAGCAGGACTGTGCGTTAAAGAAGTAGTTCACTTTAAAATTAACCCATGATTTACTCTCCCTCAAGTCATCCTAGGTGTATGATATTGTTCTTTCAGGCGAATACAATCTGAGTTATATTAAAAAATGTCCTGGCTCTTCCAAGCTTTATAATGGCAGTGCATGGCTGTTTCTGTAAAAGTCCATAAAATTGCATCTATCCACTTTTATCATGGATAGATGGACTTTAATAATGGACAGATGCACTTTTATGATGGACAGATGCACTTTTATGATGGACAGATGCACTTTTATGATGGACAGATGCACTTTTATGATGGATAGATGCACTTTTATGATGGACAGATGCACTTTAATAATGGATAGATGCACTTTTATGATGGACAGATGCACTTTTATGATGGACAGATGCACTTTAATAATGGATAGATGCACTTTTATGATGGATAGATGCACTTTTATGATGGATAGATGCACTTTTATGATGGATAGATGCACTTTAATAATGGACAGATGCACTTTTATGATGGATAGATGCACTTTTATGATGGACAGATGCACTTTTATGATGGACAGATGCACTTTTATAATGGATAGATGCACTTTTATGATGGACAGATGCACTTTTATGATGGACAGATGCACTTTTATGATGGACAGATGCACTTTTATGATGGACAGATGCACTTTTATGATGGACAGATGCACTTTAATAATGGATAGATGCACTTTTATGATGGACAGATGCACTTTTATGATGGACAGATGCACTTTAATAATGGATAGATGCACTTTTATGATGGATAGATGCACTTTTATGATGGATAGATGCACTTTTATGATGGATAGATGCACTTTAATAATGGACAGATGCACTTTTATGATGGATAGATGCACTTTTATGATGGACAGATGCACTTTTATGATGGACAGATGCACTTTAATAATGGATACACTTTATGATGGAGAGATGCACTTTTATGATGGATAGATGCACTTTTATGATGGATAGATGCACTTTAATAATGGATAGATACACTTTTTATGATGGATAGATGCACTTTTATGATGGATAGATGCAATTTTATGATGGATAGATGCACTTTTATGATGGATAGATGCACTTTTATGGACTTCAAAACAGAAACAGCCATTCACTGCCATTATAAAGCTTGGAAGAGCGAGGACATTTTTTTATATAACTCTGATTGTGTTCGTCTGAAAGAAGAATGTCATATACACCTAGGATGACTTGAGGGAGAGTAAATCATGGGCTAATGTTCATTTTAAAGTGAACTACTCCTTTAAAGGGATAGTTCGGCCAAAAATGATATTTAACACATGCATTACTCACCCTCAAGCCGTTCGAGATGCATATGTCAATCTTGTTTCAGACGAACACATTTTCAGTTATTTTAGAAAATGTCTTAGACCCTTCAGTGGATATAATGTGAAGCAATGGGGTCCACCTCCTTCAAGTCCCAAAATGTGCATACATCCTTCACAAAAGTAATCAATCCGGCTCCAGGGGGATAAACGAAGGCCTTCTGAGGGTAATCCGTGCGGTTTTGTCGTAAAAATATACATATTTAAAACTTTATAAATGAAAATATCTGACTTCCGGCAACGATCGACGCGCGTTCACGGGTGATGGAAGTCGGCGTACGAGGTAGGACGTAGCGTAGGAACCGTCGTGACGTAGACGTTGTTTTGCTCTGCTCTCTGGCTGCGCGGGCGCGTTCGTTCTACGTCACGACGGTTCCTACGCTACGTCCTACCTCGTACGCCGACTTCCATCACCCGTGAACGCGCGTCGATCGTTGCCGGAAGTCAGATATTTTCATTTATAAAGTTTTAAATATGTATATTTTTACGACAAAACCGCACGGATTACCCTCAGAAGGCCTTCGTTTATCCCCCTGGAGCCGGATTGATTACTTTTGTGAAGGATGTATGCACATTTTGGGACTTGAAGGAGGTGGACCCCATTGCTTCACATTATATCCACTGAAGGGTCTAAGACATTTTCTAAAATAACTGAAAATGTGTTCGTCTGAAACAAGATTGACATATGCATCTCGAACGGCTTGAGGGTGAGTAATGCATGTGTTAAATATCATTTTTGGCCGAACTATCCCTTTAAGAGAGTCGTGTGTGTGTGTGTGTGTGTGAGACAGACTGACCCGTAGCCCGTGGAACCGTGGGTTGCTGTAGAAGAGCTTCATCTGTTCGGGCGGCAGGGGTCCCAGGACCTTCTGGATGGTGAAGAGCTGGTCAATCTCACTCTCACCCGGAAACAAGGGCTGACCGTCACTCAGCTCGCCCAGAATACACCCCACCGACCACATGTCCACCGCCTTCCCGTACGGCGCCCTGACACACACACACACACACAAACAGAGTGAGTCACAGAATTACAGCGGGTGCGAATTTCCCCTTTGCAACGATATGTGATATGTTATCACCATATTATTAGAGGCTTTCACACCGGGGAGTTCTAGGAACTTAGTTATAGTCAAGTCATCTTCATTTATACAGCGCTTTAACAATATAGACTGTTTCAAAGCAGCTTTACAGAGATAACAGGAGATTACAGTAACAGAGATTGTTTGGCTTTACAGCAGCTCTAGAATAAAGTTATTTTCCAGCTAAAGTTAGTTTTGATTGATTCACTTCCGTTGTGAAGATCATTAGTTATTACCTTATGGGCCGCTAACACGACACCGTTCTAACAGAAAACCCTTACCGCGCTCCGGCCGCTCATCCGCACACAGCAGTGCCAGGGGCCGGTTTCACACAGATAGACTTTGACTATGGCTTAGATATAGTAGATAGTCAGACTTCAGATAGACATCTAAATCAGACCGTTGCACAAAGCACTTAAGACTCTGACTATCTTAAGTAGGACTACACTGCAATGCATTCTGGGTAAAATAAGACACTTTTCAAAACAAAAAACATGGCGGATGGAGTAAGCGCATTCAACCGCTCAGTGCAGTTTACACTGAGTGGTAAATATTACACTGTAAATATGTGTGTGTTGGAGGAGTATAACAGTTACAAGGACATTTTACTGGGGAAATTTAGCGGAGAATGTAGAAACAAGAAGAAATGTTTCATTTGGACAAAGATTGCTACGACAGTTAACAGCGTTAATCCGGCCGTTGAGCAGAGCGTTAAAGACGTACAGAAAAGATACAAAAACATGGTACACAATTTAAAAGATAATTATGAAAGTCAAGAAAGTCGCAGGTTGTCATAAAACATAAACTCGCTCAATGAACTACATCTCCCGGGAAGCGAAACAACGAGCGAGATCCGCTGCTCGTGTGTGTGTGCAGTCTGGTACAAAACACTCGATGACGGCGTCACGTTACGATTATAACGCAAGACTATAGAAACAATGACAGACGTTAGCTTCTGTAAAGTTAGCTTCAGTAAAGTTAGCTTCAGTAAAGTTAGCTTCAGTAAAGTTAGCTTCAGTAAAGTTAGCTTCAGTAAAGTTAGCTTCAGTAAAGTTAGCTTCAGTAAAGTTAATATCAGTAAAGTTAGCTTCAGTAAAGTTAGCTTCAGTAAAGTTAGCTTCAGTAAAGTTAGCATCAGTAAAGTTAGCTTCAGTAAAGTTAGCTTCAGTAAATTTAGCTACAGTAAAGTTAGCTACAGTAAAGTTAGCTACAGTAAAGTTAGCTTCAGTAAAGTTAGCTTCAGTAAAGTTAGCTTCAGTAAAGTTAGCATCAGTAAAGTTACCATCAGCAAAGTTAGCTTCAGTAAAGTTAGCATCAGTAAAGTTAGCTTCAGTAAAGTTAGCATCAGTAAAGTTAGCTTCAGTAAAGCTAGCTTCAGTAAAGTTAGCTTCAGTAAAGCTAGCTTCAGTAAAGTTAGCTTCAGTAAAGTTAACTTCAGTAAAGTTAGCTTCAGTAAAGTTAGCATCAGTAAAGTTACCATCAGTAAAGTTACCATCAGTAAAGTTAGCTTCAGTAAAGCTAGCTTCAGTAAAGTTAGCTTCAGTAAAGCTAGCTTCAGTAAAGTTAGCTTCAGTAAAGTTAGCTTCAGTAAAGTTAGCTTCAGTAAAGTAGCTTCAGTAAAATTAGCTTCAGTAAAGTTAGCATCAGTAAAGTTAGCTTCAGTAAAATTAGCTTCAGTAAAGTTAGCTTCAGTAAAGTTTGCTTCAGTAAAGTTAGCTTCAGTAAAGTTAGCTTCAGTAAAGTTAGCATCAGTAAAGTTAGCTTCAGTAAAGTTAGCTTCAGTAAAGTTAGCATCAGTAAAGTTAGCATCAGTAAAGTTAGCTTCAGTAAAGTTAGCTTTATTCATTGATAGAAAATGTGCGCCTTTGGGGTTTGTAGTCTTTGTAATTACGTATTTTTTTACAGTCTTATACCTCAACAGTTTTACATCAAACTGTGACTTTCTTGACTTTAAAATGTATCTTTTAAATTGACAAACATCATATGTGTAATTCAGGGCACAATTCAAACGTTGTCTCTCGCCATTGACTACCATACAATATTTTTCCGAAATAAGGTCCCATGGTGGTCGACCGGAAGCGGCTCGTTTCCACTGAGCGGTGCGGTACAGTACGGGTCGGGTCGGTAAACCATGATCCGGCTAGCGTTTCCACCGCCAACAGTACCCTTACTTGATAGGCGTGGTGTTTGCCGGAAAGAAGCGATCGACGTCATTTTCGCGCGAAGAAGAAAGCGACATAGTAAACAACTATGGATGACATACTGCAGATCTTGTTCTTGCTTCTCGGCATGTTTGTTCAAGAAACAAGCGCCGGCATTAGGCGTTTCTCAATACCAAGTAGCCTATGCAAAGTCCGACTCAGGAGAATGACTCCCGAGGACGCGAGTCCAGTAATTCTGCTAATGGAACAGCGCGTTCTTGAAAGCGCCACTCAGCTCGCTCTGCTACTCTGGTTATCTCTGTATGGACATTTTAGGCAACAATTAAACGAAATATGTTATAAAAACACCACTCTGCTTCTTTTCGATTTCATTTAAATACATTTTAAACATTATAAGCACACAAATGTGGTTCAGGCAACGCATATCCTATTGATTATATTCACTGCATGTATGTAGCCTATATTTATAACAAAACTAAATATAAAACACAACCCTGCCTCTTTTCGTTTAAATGTAAAAATATTAAACATATTCCAGGCAATATGTGCATTGGTACAAATGTTGCAATAAACAACATTACAGATGGTCTTGTAATAAAATAAAAAATGACAAAACTCAACCCTATCTCTTTTTGTAAAATTTTTAGTTTTATCAATAATAGCCATTATAAAAGTATAAGTAAAAGGTACAAAAAGCTATACAGTAAAGCTTTAATAACATAAAGCAAACAATTCAGTCAAATATACAAATCAGCGCTCAAATATATGGAACTTCACTTAGCCTTCTGCGAAAACTATTGGCCAGGGAACGAATTATAGATTCACGAGATCAAAGATCGCCTGTTAGCTCTGTACAAGACGAATTATATCTCATGTTTAACCACTACAGAGACATCAGAGTCAGCGGCAAACATCAGAACGACTAGCCGAGGAAAGGCTGCTCCAGGCGGGGTAACGTTACTTGAGCGCCGATCGTCCGGTGATTGCTTGGAATGGATCTCAGTCAAATTATCATAAATCTATAAATAAACCACAGATTTGAGCTTTAAAAAACTACATTTTCGCCTGAAAAACTCTTAAAACTACATTTCGTGACACAATAACAGTAGTATTATATTTATTATATTATTATATTATATTATGATGGATAGATGCACTTTTATGATGGATAGATACACTTTTATGATGGATAGATGCACTTTTATGATGGATAGATGCACTTTTATGATGGACAGATACACTTTTATGATGGATAGATGCACTTTTATGATGGATAGATGCACTTTTATGATGGATAGATGCACTTTTATGATGGATAGATGCACTTTTATGATGGATAGATGCACTTTTATGATGGATAGATGCACTTTTATGATGGACAGAGGCACTTTTATGATGGATAGATGCACTTTCAACTGTATATTAAAAAATGGCGCTTCTAATGCCCTTGTAGCACGCGCAAGTGACGATACTCTGTCAACCAATCACCGTTCTGCAGTGAGTCTAGCTCCACCCTTTAGTACCGTACCACTGTGCTAGGTACCCCTTCACTTCATGGACTAACACTGATTCTATATGTGTTTAAACATAGATGGCATTAAAGCTCTTTCTGATTCTGATTTATAGAGATCAACTTGAACGTATCGCACAGCGCTGACGCCAGTCATCATGGGAAACTCCCGCAAACGCTGAACGGACACTACGACAAAGATATCGCTTTCATCTTCTGATAACGGATGTTGTATTTCATGAATATGACTTGACCTGAAGAAGGACAGACGCAGGACACACACTCACTTCCCCTGAAGCTCTGTGTGCTTTTGTTTTTGTGATATATGAGGACACAAATGTGTATAATGACATGCATATTACACTGGTATTACAACTTACACGTGATATATGAGGACATTGCATGAGTCCTCATATTTCAAATAGCTTAAAAAACATAAAAAACAATGTGTTTTTTTTAATGTAAAAATGCAGCATGTCTCCTGTGATGGGCAGGTTTAGGGATAGGGGCAGTGTAGGGGGATAGAATATACAGTTTGTCCAGTATAAAAGTCATTACGCCTATGGAATGTCCTCATACATCACAAAAACACGTCTGTGTGTGTGTGTGTGTCTGTGTCTGTGTCTGTCTATGCATGTGTGTGCGCGCATGTGTGCATGTGTGTGTGTGTGTGTGTGTGTGAGGTTGGACGTATGTGTATACACACACACTCACCCCAGCAGCAGTTCTGGGGAGCGGTACCATCGGGTCGCCACATACTCAGTGTAGTTCGCATCGGTTCCTTCAGAAAGATCCCGCGCAAAACCTGCCGGAGAAACACAAGATCTCAGAGAGCGCCTGATTGGAGGAAACCCTGATTAGCATATTCACATCACAAACACCCCAGTAATCTCACGTGTGTGTGTCTCAGATTTACCAACTGTGCTCAAAAGCATTGAAATATCAAATATCAAAGAACATGTGCATGTGTGTGTGTGTGTTCGGGTACATTTCCCAATAAAACAATGAGAACACGTGCAGAATGGAGAACAGCCTGAGCGTCTCACAGCGAGTCTGGAGTGAGAGACAGACGACCTGCTGTTGTCTCGCTCAGTCACACACACACACACACACACACTCATACTCACACTCACACTCACACTCACACTCACACACTCACACTCACACTCACTCTCACACACTCACACTCACACTCACACTCACACTCACACACTTACACTCACACTCACACTCACACTCACTCTCACACTCACACTCACTCTCACACACACACTCACACTCACACTCACACACACACACTCTCACACACACACTCACACTCACACTCACACACACACACTCACACTCACACTCACTCTCACACTCACACTCACTCTCACACACACTCACTCTCACTCTCACTCTCACACTCACACTCACACTCACTCTCACACTCACACTCACACTCACACTCACACACTCACACACTCACACTCACACTCACACACTCACACTCACACTCACACTCACACTCACTCTCACACTCACACTCACACACTCACACACTCACACTCACACTCACACTCACACTCACTCTCACTCTCACACTCACTCTCACACTCACTCTCACACTCACACTCACACTCACTCTCACACTCACTCTCACACTCACACTCACACTCACACACTCACACTCACACACTCACACTCACACTCACACTCACACTCACACTCACACACACTCTCACACTCACACTCACACACTCACACTCACTCACACTCACACACTCACTCTCACTCTCACACTCACACTCACACACACTCACACTCACACTCACACTCACACTCACACTCACACTCACACTCACACACTCACACTCACACACTTACACTCACTCTCACTCTCACACACACACTCACTCTCACTCTCACTCTCACACTCACTCTCACTCTCACACTCACTCTCACACTCACTCTCACACTCACTCTCACACTCTCACACTCACTCTCACACTCACTCTCACTCTCACTCTCACTCTCACTCTCACACTCACTCACTCTCACACTCACTCTCACACTCACTCTCACACTCACACTCACACTCACACTCACTCTCACTCTCACACACACACACACACTCACACTCACTCTCACACTCACTCTCACACTCACTCTCACACTCACACACACACTCACTCACTCACACACACTCTCTCACACACACACACACTCACTCACTAGATCGCTCACTCGCACGCACACACTCACGCACACACACACACTCACGCACACACACACTCACAGACACACAACACATCACACACACTGATTGGTGCTTCCCGATCACATGACTGCAGACACTCACCGAAGTCGCACAGTTTGAGCACGTCATCAGAGCTGATGAGGAGATTCTCCGGCTTGATATCTAGAGACGCGACAGACAAACCTATACAGTCAGCATGTGGAATATTCTATTACAGGTGGGCATTTTGTGGACAATAATTACAATTAAATAATATAATGAAACAATTTGTTTGTTTTTTATTTTTTATTACAGGTGGTCTGACACCTCTGTGGAGGATGATTACTTCATTTTTTTTTTTTATTAAAATATAATTGATTTTATTACAGGTGGTCTTGCACCACTGTGGATAATGATTACAATTAAATAACACAATTAAAATATATATATATATATATATATTTTTTTATATTTTGTTAAAACTTTTTTTTTTCACAGGTTGCCTGGCAACTCTATGAATGATGATTAAAATTAAATAATACAATAAAAATATAATTGATTTTATCTTTTATTTTATTCAAATATAATTAATTGTATTGCAGGTGGTCTGGCACCTCTGTGGAGGATGATTACAATTAAATAATATAATTAAAATATAATAGATTTATTTTATTTTATTAAAATATTTATTTATTTTTATTAAAAAAATATTTTATAACAGGTGGTCTAACACCTCTGTGGATGATGATTAAAATGAAATAACACAATTAAAATATAATAGAATTTTTTTTTTTTTACTTAAAATATAATTAATTACAGATGGTCTCTCACCTGTGTTGACGATGATTATAATTAAATAATATAATTAAAAGATAATTTATTTTTTAAATGAAAAATAATTAATTTAATTACAGGGGGTCTTGTATCTCTGTGGATGATGAATAAATTTAAGTATTATTTATTAAAAAAAAAATATATATATAATTAATTTAATTACAGGTGGTCTGGCACCTCTGTGCATGATGTTTAAAATCAAATAACATAATTAAAATATAATAGATTTTTTATTTTTTTTATTTAAATATATATATGTTTTTATTTAAAAAAAAAATTATTACAGGTGGTCTCACACCTCTGTGAAAGAAAAATAAAATGAAATAATATAATTAAATATGTATTATTAATATAATTAATTTTATTACAGGGGGTCTCACACCTCTGTGTATGAAGAATAAAATGAAATGATATTATAAAATTCTTTTTTTAAATATAATAGATTTTACTGCAGGGGATCTCACACCTCTGTGTACGATGTCGTTCTTATGGCACCAGTGAATGGCTTTGATCAGCTGGTAGATGTACGTCCGGACCTTGTCAGGCGCAGCTCCGTTCGGCATGTCCTCCAGCAGCTCCAGCATGTTCTGCAACACACACACACACACACACATCTTAAAGGGATAGTTCACCCAAAAATGAAAATTAGCCCACTCACCCTCAAGTCATCCTAGGACATTTTTTAATATAACACAGATTGTGTTCATCTGACAGAAGAATGTCATATACACCGAGGATGACTTGAGGGAGAGTAAATCATGAGCTAATGTTCATGTTTGGGTGAACTGTCTCTTTAAGAGCCGCATGAGAAGAGCTCGAGCTGAAGATGTCGTCTCACCTTCTCCACGTACTCGAACACCAGGTAGAGTTTGCCCCGCCGCCGGAACGCCTCCTTCAGCTCCACGATGTTCTCCTGCTTCAGCGTCCGGAGCATCTTCAGCTCACGCATGGTGGTCTCCTTCACCTCCTCATTCTCTGAACACACAGTCCATCAACACACACTGATACAGGCTGACTGCCCGCAACGCTGCTTGTCACCCGTTTATAAGCCATGAAAGAATAATTTTTCTAAAAACTAATAACTCGAGTGCCTCCTTGGATTGTTTTTTTCTTCTAGCATGCGTTAGTTTTCTGTTCATTCACACTGAAGTAGAACCAGAACAACAGAACCTAGAAGTAATTTGTTACTTTAAAAATAATAATAATAATAATAATTTTATTTGTTCCTTGTTATCAGTTGTAAAGCAAAGTAACATTACTCTTGAAAGTAACCAGTGTTATTTTAGTATTATTTATATACTATTCAAGTTGAATGGGCTTTTATTTTTGTATATTCAATTTCTTGTTAATTTTAGTGTGACTTTTAGGAGAAAGAAAGAAAGAAAGAAAGAAAGAAAGAAAGAAAGAAAGAAAGAAAGAAAGAAAGAAAGAAAGAAAGAAAGAAAGAAAGAAAGAAAGAAAGAAAGAAAGAAAGAAAGAAAGAAAGAAAGAAAGAAAGAAAGAAAGAAAGAAAGAAAGAAAGAAGGAAGGAAGAAAGAAAGAAGGAAAGAACCGGTAAGAAAGAAAGAAAGAGAAAGAAAGAAAGAAAGAAAGAAAGAAAGAAAGAAAGAAAGAAAGAAAGAAAGAAAGAAAGAAAGAAAGAAAGAAAGAAAGAAAGAAAGAAAGAAAGAAAGAAAGAAAGAAAGAAAGAAAGAAAGAAAGAAAGAAAGAAAGGACGGACAGAGTTATTGATATATTTTCAGTTTCAAATTCATTGTATTTTAATTTTTAGAAATGTTAAGTGGATTTTTGCCTCTTTAATATTAATATCATATATATATATATATATATATATATATATATATATATATATATAAACATTTATTTATTTTGTTTTATTTACTGTAAGTTAAGTGCTTAAACTTAAACTTATTTGAATTAGGCAACATTTTAATTTTCACTTAGTTTGAGTTTCACATCTAATATTTATATTTTATTTTATTACAGCTTCATTTCAGTGAAAAAAAATGTTTTAAATTAGTTTGAGTTAACGATAATAACCCTGAAAGTGACACTGGAACCAAATACAAAGATAAAGACGTGCGTTTATGTAACTTTAATGCACAACTTATTATTATTTTTAAACATTCTATGCATATTAATTTCTAATAATAACTAAGTTAAACCTGTTTATTATTGTGATATATTAGAATGTTTATAGAACACATGCTATTCTACACATTTGCTCTTCAGATCAATACATGTTGAGATTATTATTTGAATACAGGCGTGTCATCAGTGCAGGCTCATTAATATTCATGAGTTATGATGATGCGTGAGCTGAAGATGGAGGATATTCTGAGCTCGACACGAGTCCCGAAACTCACCCTCACTGTCCTTGAACTTCTTAATGGCCACGATTTCATTCGTCTCCTGCACCAGAGGAAGAATAACACACCACATCAAGACGCCTCACTGAAGAGTTCGAGCAGCGCTGTCCAGAAACACTGTATTATACATTATTAAATGCACATTTTTGGATTATTTAGCGCTTTTTTCACCACATATGTGTAACAAACCACAAGTCAGTGTCACTCAAACTGCAAGTGTTGTTGCTTATTGTGAGAAATATTAATTTCACATACACTACAGTTAAAAAAATTGGGGTAATTAATACTTTTATTTCTGTTCTTTTGAACTCTCTATTCATCAAAGAATCCTGAAAATAAAATGCATGGCGCTTTCCACAAAAATATGAGCAGCACGACTGTTACCAACACTGATAATAATCTTAAATGTTTCTTGAGCATCAAATCATCCTATTAGAGTGATTTCTGAAGGATCATGTGACCCTGAAGACTGGAGTAATGATGCTGAAAATGATCAGGAATAAATTACACTTTACTAGACAATCACATAGAAAACAGCTGATTTACATTGAAATAATATTTCACATTTTTTACTGTATTTTTTAATGCTAGTTGGCTTCATCTACATAAACGTTTGCTAATAAATAACTTAATTTTAAAATTTTACTTTTATAAATAAAATTGTGTCTTTAGTTTGAATTGCTCACTAACATCAGTGCCAGTCATTGTTGTTCTTACAGTTGAATTAAAGCCATATTCCTAATAAATGATAACCATATGGTTACCAACATATGGAGACGCACTCAGTCGCAGTTACACACTCAGCAGAGCACATTTATCCTCACAACACAGTTGGCGGGCATTTTGGACCCTGTGAATGTGTGTTGAGGAGAACTAAAGGACTCGACACACACACTCTCTCTGGCCTATTTTACACACTCGCTGTCTCTATATCCTCCCAGCATCCTTCAGTGCTCTAGATTCACACTTTAGTGTAAAACTAACTCTTACAGACACAGCTGAAATCAATCTTAGGTGTTCATAAATGTGTGTTTGCATACAGTATATTAAACAAAAACTGATCACTGGTGCTGCAAACGGCACATTTATGCTTAATAAATCACACACTGCTACATCTTTATCTATACATGTACACTGGCGTTCAAAAGTTTGGGATCGGTACGTTTAAAAAAAAAAATCTCTTCTGCGCACCAAGGTTGCATTTATTTGATTAAAAATACAAAACAAACAGTATTATTGTGAAATATTATTACAATTTAAAATAACAATTAAAAAAAAAGATTTATTCCTGTGATCAAAGCTGAATTTTCAGCATCATAACTCCAGTCTTCAGTGTCACATGATCCTTCAGAAATCACTCTAATATGAGGATTTGCTGTTCACAAAACAATTCTTATGCACCGATTTATCAGGCAATATAAGCAATTTTTTCATTCTATATTGTATCCTGTCAATCAAAAGGTGTGGAAAAACATGTCAGATTGCAACTCATACCGTGTGTGAAGAAAATGCGTCTTGTGTCGAATTTACTTAGTTTCAAGACAGCGCCACCATGCGGTCAAAAGTTATAATGAGATTTAAAAAATGTCAATAACTTTTGATTAAATTAGCCTGTTGTAACGAAACTGGTCTTAATCGATTCCTTGGCTCATGCCGAGAAAATAGATACCAAGTTTGCCATACCAACCGCCATTTTGAAAACCTACTTTTTCGTGGCGTTAGTCAAAACCGTTTTCAGATCCCGCATAATGCCAAACTGCATCTGAAGCTGTATCTCAGGAAAGATTTGACATACTGACACCAAACTTTATGTGTGTAATTGTCACCCAACACTGAACACACCAGATCAGTTTGGTGTCAGCGCCACCTATTGGTCAAAAGTAATAAGCAATTCGCCTTTGGCTAAGCCCCGCCCCCCTTAGTTACTGTTGCTACGTCCGACAAACAAACTTCATCTGGGCTCTGGTATCAACATGGCTTATGCTGTGACAGCTCTTCCTGCTGACATTTTATCAAACTTTTATAAAGCAGCAAATAAAGTGTCCGATAGAAGTAGTCAAAAGCGGCTGCAATATGCGTTCGAAGGCTATATTCACGACATACAGGTGAAACGCAAGGAACAACAAGGCATCCAAATAGAGGCAAAGGCATACCGGTCACAGTCAAAAAATTAACCACGCATATCCTACTAATGGAGACGGAGGCTGGGACTCACAATATCAAGGAGCAACACTGTTCATGCAAAGCTGGGTAGGTCTCTATTCACTTCTATAATCGTTATTACAAAGCAAACGGACTACGCGAGTATAACGTTGTATTTATTAGCAGCGTGTGCTAGACGACACTTGTCAGGATTTGACTTCGGTTTTGGGAAGGGAAAAAAACCGCACACCCCCTCCAACCTCTCTGGGAAACGCGTATCTGTGTTACAAATGCCCCAGGCACAACATTTAACCATATTTTTGATAAAACTACGACGGTAATAGCCTGCCGAGACCAAAAATATGAGACGCCTGTGTTAAAGCCAATGGAGCGCTGTGAAAAAGTGTCGGACCTCTGTGGGAGCTCGTTCTTGGCTGCGCTGTGATTGGTCAATCTACATTTTAGGGCGTGGCGAATTATGTCAAATTAAAAGTGATTGTATTTATCGGCCTTCAACCATTTTGATTAAAATCATCTCCAAATGTATTGCAGTTGGTCTGATATCTTGATTTTTTTTGCTCTTCATTCTGAGAGTGAGTGACAGCTCCTCAGTGACCTCTGACCCCTGCTTCTCCATCTGTGTTGATTGCTCGTGTCTGTGGTCGTGACAGCATACGTTTATTTTGTTACGGAAAAAGCACAAGTTTTCAGGTGAATGTAAGGTCGAACACTGGTGTCCTTGCTGCTTTTTTCTACGTAATGAAAGTAAATAAAGCACTTGTGCTGTCAAGCTTCAAAAACAACCGAAAAAGCCTCAGAAAACTTCCTCATAACACAACAGAAGAGGATTTCATTGATTAATGACTAACTCAGCCCAGCTTGAAGAGCTCGACACATAACAGGAAGTTGAAACGAGGACAGACGAATGGAAGAAAAACATGCAAAAACACAACAGTCAGCAGGGCACGGGACGAGAGAAGAGGACGGTTATATATTTCTGTATTGAAAGCTATTTGTGGGTCTGCTGCACATGTACACAGATTTCAGATTTACATACTCTCGTATCTCTCACGGAGGAGCGGAAGCATGAAGGAGGAGCGCCGACAGTGAAGAGAGAGAGAGGACCAGGCCTGGACTTGTGTTTTATGTTTTATTATGTGACAGCGGTCGTCCGTGAGAGATATGAGACCTCGCGCCGCTCTCTCGCGGCCCTCGGCCTCGTCCTCGTCCTGCTCGCCACACATACGTTTACATAAGTGATGCTGTTTGAGAGAAATGGGCCGCGAGAGGTTTTAAAGGTTCCTAATTTTGTTCTGGAGTCTCCTATAACAGGTTTACACACATCCAAGGTCAAACAACACTTTCATTTTCTCATAATTTACCCCGCAGCATCAGCTCTTTACTTGAAGAGTCTAAAAACAGTTTGTTTGAAGATGGAGTGTCTCTAAACCCCGCCTTTCTGAGTCTACTCTGCTCTGATTGGTCAGATGGCCCAGTCTGCTGTAATTGGTCTACTCTGCTCTGATTGGTCAGATGGCCCAGTCTGCTGTGATTGATCTACTCTGCTCTGATTGGTCAGTTGACACAGTCTGTTGTGATTGGTCTACTCTGCTCTGATTGGTCAGATGACTCAGTCTGCTGTGATTGGTCTACTCTGCTCTGATTGGTCAGTTGACACAGTCTGTTGTGATTGATCTACTCTGCTCTGATTGGTCAGATGACTCAGTCTGCTGTGATTGGTCTACTCTGCTCTGATTGGTCAGTTGACACAGTCTGTTGTGATTGATCTACTCTGCTCTGATTGGTCAGATGGCCCAGTCTGTTGTGATTGGTCTACTCTGCTCTGATTGGTCAGATGACTCAGTCTGTTGTGATTGGTCTACTCTGCTCTGATTGGTCAGATGACTCAGTCTGTTGTGATTGATCTACTCTGCTCTGATTGGTCAGATGACTCAGTCTGCTGTGATTGGTCTACTCTGCTCTGATTGGTCAGATGGCCCAGTCTGTTGTGATTGGTCTACTCTGCTCTGATTGGTCAGATGACTCAGTCTGTTGTGATTGGTCTACTCTGCTCTGATTGGTCAGATGGCCCAGTCTGCTGTGATTGGTCTACTCTGCTCTGATTGGTCAGATGACTCAGTCTGTTGTGATTGGTCTACTCTGCTCTGATTGGTCAGTTGACACAGTCTGTTGTGATTGATCTACTCTGCTCTGATTGGTCAGATGACTCAGTCTGCTGTGATTGGTCTACTCTGCTCTGATTGGTCAGATGGCCCAGTCTGTTGTGATTGGTCTACTCTGCTCTGATTGGTCAGATGGCCCAGTCTGCTGTGATTGATCTACTCTGCTCTGATTGGTCAGATGACTCAGTCTGTTGTGATTGGTCTACTCTGCTCTGATTGGTCAGATGGCCCAGTCTGCTGTGATTGGTCTACTCTGCTCTGATTGGTCAGACGGCTCAGTCTGCTGTGATTGATCTACTCTGCTCTGATTGGTCAGACGACTCAGTCTGTTGTGATTGATCTACTCTGCTCTGATTGGTCAGATGACTCAGTCTGTTGTGATTGATCTACTCTGCTCTGATTGGTCAGATGACTCAGTCTGCTGTGATTGATCTACTCTGCTCTGATTGGTCAGATGACTCAGTCTGTTGTGATTGATCTACTCTGCTCTGATTGGTCAGATGACTCAGTCTGCTGTGATTGATCTACTCTGCTCTGATTGGTCAGATGACTCAGTCTGTTGTGATTGATCTACTCTGCTCTGATTGGTCAGATGACTCAGTCTGCTGTGATTGATCTACTCTGCTCTGATTGGTCAGATGACTCAGTCTGTTGTGATTGATCTACTCTGCTCTGATTGGTCAGATGACTCAGTCTGCTGTGATTGGTCTACTCTGCTCTGATTGGTCAGATGGCCCAGTCTGCTGTGATTGATC